CAAATCGAATAAAATAAAAACTTTGCGTAATATTGTGTAAAATTTGATAGCATAGAATTTATCGTTGTAAAAAAGAGGAAATTGATTTAGAATGACGAGCGGAACAAGTGAAATAATACCGGGGACAGTTCATATTAAGAATAGTAATGATAACTATTTTCTTATTAGGGAAGAGTACACAAATTGAATAGACAAAATGAAAAAATGAAAAATTGGTAGAGCTAAAATATTATTGAGGATCACCATATTTTAGCATAGAGGGATTAAGACCATAAAAGTTGGAGGGGTTGAAAGCACTTTTCTGTACACAGAGATCTGGCTTTTCTGTTTCAATGTGCGTCGGTGGCACAGTGGTTAGGACTCTCGCCGACCATGCGCATGGTCCAGGGTTCGAGCCCACGCTGACGCACACCTGATCTGATCTATGGTCGGCATGCGAATTTTGGGCTACCGATATCCACGCTGAAAATTCCACACTCGTCCCAAAAATACGGTGTGGAATCAAGCTGCAATCAAAAAAAAAGCCGAAGATGGCTTCAGCAATACAGACGAGTCGGGTACGTACGGACTTTGATAAGTCACTCTTTGCCTTGTAGAGGCTGTAGGGGGGGCTACAGAGATAGGCTGATCATTATCGACCAGATGCTCAGTGATCGCGCTTCTTATTGTTCCCCTTCCACCTCTTCGTGACCACAAAGGATAGTGTTCTTGCACCCTATTGGAGAAAACTAGAGTCGAACATCGCATGATATTCGTTTATTTGATTTAACGCTGATAAATTTGATGAACTAGTCTCTGTTTAAAGTAAGCGCCTTGATTTCAAGCTCGGTTAGTGACACCTAAAAAGATCGAAAACGCGCACTGTATCTGTGACAGTTATCCTAAGACCACTTGAAACCTCCCTCAAATGCTTCAATATTCAAATGTTAAATTATTCTTTACTCACTGGTTATTTTCGTACATCAATGTCACTCCCATGAATATGGAACTCTAATATTATAACGTGATGGCAGTTGGCAATTATCTAAGCGTTTCTCTACTTTAATGTTACAAACTCGCAGTTGGTTGATGTTATCAGATGAGCAGTTGTGTTATGGATGACTGAAATTTCTCCAGTTAGGGTTGTATATCCACCTTTCTGTGAAACACTCAGTGCTCTGATTGTCCTGATAATGTTCTTGGTGAAATATTTTTAAACTTTAGACTTGATAGGCATTTTATTCTGCGTAATAAAATTAGTAGAAATCACGACAACTGGATCTGTAGCTTAGAAATAACCGTATATCACGTTATTTGAGTTATTGGTCATTAAGTCAAGCAGTGTTATCACAAAATACGTTCCCTTCTCGATTAAAAAACGTTTCATTTCACTAGTGTCGATATGCTAACATCAGTTATTTGTATTCCTTTTAGTCGAAGTCTACGATCAACACATGTGTCACAGCGATAAACCTAAAATATAAATGTTCACTCAATGTTCTCAATCGTCTCACTTAAACACGTTTTATGTCTTCCTCGAAGCAGTGATGGCAACGCATCTAAAAAGCATCTGTATGTTTCAGCTAGTTGGGTACTGAGCGTTCTACTGTAAAGTCCCCTTGGAAGGCAACATAACCAGATCAAAAATAATCAACATCGATTGTTTGTGATTAATGAATAAAACTTCCTACGGAGTATTGATTATCATTCGTGTTCCCAGCAATTATCCCATTGACAGCCGTGAGTTGATTCTTATTAATGGATCAGTTACCCTTTGGAGTATGCGCCTCTGTTTCAAACTAGAAGCCGCAAACATCTGCTGTCAAGAATTTCGGCATCTACTGCCACGTTGGCACTATCGCAACTTCCACATCAGCTAAGGTGGACATCACGCTCATCTACTTCACTTCGTTTCTATGGGTATGAAGTTCACTCTACTCTTGCATTACCACTCTTGTTTGTTCATGAATAAATCGAATTCCAAGCATTTGAAGTTTACATCTCAAAGTGTTCAACAGTCTGGATTTTATCTGCATCTTTAACTGAGATTGCGGAATCATTTTCACACTCTAAGACAGCCAGACTGTTCTCTGGTAACAAGCCAAATCTTAGGTAACTTCCATTAGTACATATTTGATAAAATCTAACGAAATTTGGGACAGCTGGTATTCCTAACGGAAACGACTGGTTGTTAAATTTCCGGACGATACCTTTCCTTTAGCTCTTAAATGACTGTGTGAGTTCGAGTTGAGTCTTTATTAGGCGTCGCATACTTTCTTGTCCTTCCCTCTTCTCGACCGAATTTGATGCAGAACTCCTCTGTCATCCAAGTCAATTATCATCTCAAAGGTCGAGAAATTTAGCAAGTGTTGGACATTGGTAAATGTACTTGAATTCCAACATTTGTTGTAATGTAGAGATATGATCAATGCAGTCTTGTCTTCACTTAAAGCCTGACTGGGTTTCTTTGGTTTGTTTCTCTCAGGCACAGCCGAATACACTCATCAATATTGAATCTAGAACTTCAGATACTACACTAGTTAAGCCTTCCTCCATATGATTACTGAAGAACATATTGCTTCCCTTCCTCTAAAATAGGAAAATGGATTATTCACATAGAACAAATGGAAATATCTCTCATTTCATAACACTAACCCAAAGACCAGTGTATCGCCAGCCTTCTCCAAAAGTTCAGGAGTCATTTAATCAAGCCACACTGCTTTAATTCGCCTCAGAATGGAGCAAACATTTGAAACTTTAGCTACTTATGGAGTAGCGATGTCTAAATATTATGCAGATAGTTTCTGGATGCTGCAAAAATTGAGCGTCACTGTAGATTGCACAAACTGCTCTCCGCAATGTTTCCGCTGATGTTCCTTCAGTACATTCAGAAACGTTAATTAATTGTCAGTTTTTTTAGAGATTATTTCAATTATCCTTTGTCTGCAAAAAGGAGTCCCCTTTATGCACCTTAATGGTTGTCTGTTGGTAACTATCACTGATGACTTTTCCGTGCCTTTGGCTTTCGTCTACCACCGATGTTTACGGTGGTGAAAGACGTTTGAGAATATTTTGCTCTTCATTATATTCGAAGACCATCGTTGTTTTTGTGAAGTACGCTGGAATACAAAGCCTCCATTTATCCTGCATTTATACGATTACATCAAGTTTTCCTAGATCTAACTTAACATTAACCAAAGAATGTGGGGTGACTTTTGCATTGAGATATTTTAGGATCTCTATGGATTCACTAGGAATCCTCTATCCTTGGGGATGTGTTAGTGAAATGATACTAAGTTTCAAAGTGTAACGAGATTGTTTCCTTTTTCATAATGTGAGTATATTTGTGATTTCGTTATTCAGAATTATTCTCATCTTCGATAATCAATGAAGTACCAGCTTCTTGAAATAAGTTAAAAAAATGTTTACTTCCTGTAGTGCCATCGACAATTATACATCTCATCCAACAGTTATACGACAATGCTGCATTCCAAGTAATCCACAACGGGAAAATTACGGAAGCATTCGAAGTGAAGACAGGAGTGAGGCAAGGCTGTCTACTATCACCAATGATCTTCCTGATTCCAGTGGATTGGATAATGAGACAGAAAACGGGGGATGAGAAAACACGCATAAAATGGACTCACACAAAATGCTTGGAGGATCTAGACTTCGCCAATATTATATGTGTGATTTCCCACAAACTGGAAGATATTCAAGTGAAAAACAACAAACTGGCAGAAGAAGCATCAAAGATAGGACTTCAGGTAAACATAGAGAGGGTGGAGATAGAGGTGATGAAGATTCCTGGCCAACATCAACAGCAACAGCAACAACAGATAACAATCAGCATAAATGGGTGGATCCTGAAAGAAACAACCTCCTTTGCCTGCCTGCCTACCTACCTACCTGGGAAGCATAGTTTCAACTGCAGGTAGATAGAACTGATGAGGATACCAAAGCGAGAATCGGAAAAGCAAGACAAGCTTTCATTGTTCTCAAGTTTGTTTGGAGGTCAACAGCACTCAGCATCAGAAATAAGATCCGGATTTTCAACTCCAATGTGAAGTCAGTGCTACTTGTTATATGGATCAGAGACTTCGCCATCGTGTTGGTGGCACAGTGGTTAGGACTCTCGCCGACCATGCACATGGTCCGGGGTTCGAGCCCACGCCGGCGCACACCTTGATATCTATGGTCGGCCTGCAAAATTTGGGCTACCGATATCCATGCTGAAAATTCCATACTTGTACCAAAAATACGGTATGGAATCAAGCTGTAAATCAAAAATCAAAAATAAATTAAAAAATAAAGAGCATCTCAAACAAACTACAGACTTTCATTAACAGTTGTCTTCGCTCAATACTCAAGATCAGATCCAAGGAATAAAAGATGAATTCTAGTTGTTGGGTATTTTAAAAGACTTATGGTATTACTAGTAATTTCTGGATCCTTATGGTTGTGTCTAGCTAAATAACCGATTTTTGGCTCCCGTTTGATAAAGAAAAGCATGTCGCCATTGAATCTTCAAAGACTAAGACATTATGCTTCATTCACATTGGAGGAAATAATGAAATAATGAGGAAGGAGTTTTGATAGATGGAATAATATCACATTCGTTTCTAGAGTTTTTAATTGTGCAAAAAAATATGAACAAAATTAAGATAATAATATATATGACAGTGAAGTCATCCAGAAGTGTGTAGATCTAGACATAATAGAGGAGATCTTATAATCATGAAAATGGGGGTATGTCTGTGCTTGACTAATTAAGAACTAATTTTATTTTCGATAATTAATAAAACATAAGCCTTCTGAAATCCATGACAAAAAAGTTTAACCTCTCTTACGATTCCCATCTGCAAATGTTGTTCCAAAATACTCTTCACCTCATAAAATGCCTATTTTACAGTTGTCGACTTCATGTAAACAAACAGATGAATCGAGATTCTTTGTTAATTCAGTCATGCTGTTTATCTGTAGAGGGAGAACATGAATCGTATTTAATTACTTATTACCTAGTTAACACTTCCTGTTTATTTACATAAATATCGATTACAAATATTGATGAAATATGTAAAGACTTCTCAAACATGCGTATTATATTTATTTAACAAATACAAAGCACTAGAAATACGAGATACTTTGCATTCATGAGTGGAGGACATTTTATTTCATATTTCAGTGATATCGTCAATTAAGAATTTTTCACGAATTATTCTCTCAATCAATGGCTTTGTTGAATTCTTTTTAGGTTGATTGATGTTAACTTCACGGTGACAAACCTAGAATAAATATGTTTACTTCATGATCTCATTGTTTTTACTTATACATGTTCTCCCTTTTCCTCCAAGTTGCACTGACAGTGCATCTAATAAGCAGCCCCATGTTTCACCTAGTCGGGTACATAGGGCTAACCTGCAAAATAATTGAATGAAACAATGTGATCAGTTCAAAATCTTCTTATCAGTTATTTTATAAATTCAAGTGTTGATTTGTAGGGATTTGATTGATTTCAGGATTTCATCATGAGCTGAGAGAACCATTGGAAAACCTGGGAGTACTGGACAACTGTTTCGTCCTAGTTTGGGACTCTTCATCAGTACGCACCCACCGGGATTCGAACCCAGGACCTTCGTGTTCTCGGTTGTCTTCCTCCTAACCCTGAAAGAAACTAACTGGTCTCATTTTCAACTATGCTACTTGATTTAAAAACTGTTTTAATGCGGCTTGTGATGGGTAATGGTGAGATCAGTAATGTGCACAATATTAGTCGAAATTGTTTTTAAGAAGCTGAAAACGATTCTCAAGTGTTTAAGTGTTTGAATGGTACATTCGCTTAACCTAGCAGACAACGTCCTCATCAATAATAAGACTTCAGTGTATTATCAAGCCTAATCTTAACAAACTCACTCACGATATTTATATCAGATGAAAAATGAAATCAAGGATTCATGAAATGTTTCTCTAGTTAGAGTTTTACATTCATCTTCCCTGAAACACTTTAAGGCTTAGGTTATTCTCCTTAAATACCTGTCGACATATCACTGCTTACAACCAATCGATTCACATAATTCGAATTACTTGTCATTAAATCAGATATGGAGTAGTTTCAGGATAAAGTAGCCCCCCTCCTGTTTTGATCCTTCAGCCAGTGAATCAATTATGTTCCATGGTAGAAATTCAAGAGATTCAGGAGATGAAGCAGGCTGGTATAAGTCCAGAGGATTCTGAAATATTTTTGAGCTAGTGTGAATTGCTGTTTCCGAGAATTATATTATGAATTTTCCAAATTGCAATTTTACCAGACGGAAATGCACACCTCATACTGAGAGTCGATATATGCACAGAAACTGGAAATTTCAGGATAGTAAATCCGATCAATGGATGATTCAATCTGTGATTTGAATAAGTAGCAATTTCGTTAAGTTTTAATCTCACCTCACATACCTAATGTTTTGTCCTCCAAAACGACTTTGGAAAAAATGTATATCGAAATGCATTGAAAAGTATTATTAATCAAATAAACTCACCATATATCCAGAATAAACTTTCTAGGAGTTGAATAGATTTCTGCTTAGATACTGAGAGTTTATTTACAAAAAGGTTCTGTTTTATGCAATCTGTTTAGTATGAGATAACACAAGTAGAAATCAGCTGTTAATTTGTTATTCACATGTCTTTTTAGAGCATCGAATTAAATGACTCATTGCCGCTTACACTTCTAATTTACTTTAGTTTCATGCTAGACTTTACCTCTAATTATTTCGGTTAGTCTTGAATAAATTTTATCAAGTGTGATGAGGGACCTGCATGAAAACGTCAAATTCACTGATTCACTTATAGGGACTAATTAATTTCAACCTGGCCACATTTGAGTGACTTACACAGATTTGTGAAAAGTCTCAGTACAGCTTATAGTTCCCAGTGAGTGTATCAGAAGTGTCCTTAGGGTTAAGAATCTATAATTTACGATGACATCGGTAAATTGTCAGTAGAATTAGTAAACTGAAATCTCGGAGTACATCGTGTACAGCAGATATTTTAGCTGTCTATAGTGCTAAAATATACTAACAAGAGGCACTCATTCACATAATGACATGATAAACTCTTCAAATAGGTTTTAAATCTAGAGCATATCACCCATTTTCAGTTGGAAGAATTATTACTCCAAGGTCTTTAATGAATTTCTTTACAAATATCAGCTTAAATTCAGTCACACTCATTGAAATAAGGAACGAAGATGTAGAATCTCTCCACGTCATTCACACGAATATGTTTATACAGTTCAGCATAAACAGGAGACTTATCAACTTTTCGTATAATTAATACATGTTTTGAAGAAATTGATGAATTTTTACCGACAGAATGTTACTTTTAGTAACTCTTATTGTACTTACTTCAAATTGAAGATAACTTGATCTTGAAATAATGATGAAGTAACGAAATGGATTTGTAGAGAAAAATGACACTATATATTCCAACAGTAAATGGACTACTCATTAGTGGTGAATGACATAAGACCGCCTAAATTTTTTAAAAAAAAGTGAAATTATCGATGCAAACGTTATTAGTGGTCATTGTATTGGAATGAAATTCCCTATTACATAATTATACTTTTTAGTATACTGATAGCCAGGTGACACGTTAAGGCGTAAAATCGTATAAATGTGTATTCACAGAACTTCTCAACTTGCTTAACATAGCTCCACTCCCTCCTGTGTCGAAATACAATTTCCGATGCGAAAAAGGTCGGTGTTCTGTCATTCCTATTTCCTGTTGCTGTGTTGATTGGCCAGAAGAATACAACAATCAATGTCTCTGTCACCTTTTATCATGTCAAATTTCTATTATCAATTTTTACCACTGTGTGCTTTTTGTAATAAACTGATCTCATATGAAAGGTTGCTTTGAGTTTCAGACATATGAATGGATGCTAACAAGTAGGCATCTTCTGACACCCTAAAAGCAAAGATTTTGAATAAAACTTTAGCTTAAACAATCTCAATTTGTCTATTCTGTCAAACACACAAACAAGAATTCGTATTACTGTCGACTGAATGAGAGAGGTGTAAAGGATATTTGAGAGGGACTGCCACTTCGAGCAGGGGTTTCAATGTGTCTGTTCTATTTCAGCTGATAATTAATCATGGGTTCTTTTGTCTAACTTGCAGAAACGTGAAACATGACTTCACATGCTATTGGAATTTTAGATACAAATTTACCTCAATTTCTGAGGTCACTATATATAGTGTCTTTTTTGTTTATCTGTGACGCGGTGGAGACTGCTGAGATTATGAACGACGTGTTGTAGAACTGCTTGATCCGCTTGCGTGTTGGTATCTAACCTAGAAGGAAATAGTTTTGATGGGGTGCAATCATGCTCATTCTCCATTTGCTCATTATGCCATAAAATTGATATTTTCATTAACAGCATCAAATCCCACAAGTTAGGCTAATTTTATGTGATCCAAAGTTTCTTTCTTTCTTTCTTCAAAATGCTAACCAGTATGTATGCCTTCTAGTTTTCTATTGAAGACACATACTCGAATCACCTGAAAGGATACACCTATTTCTTCAAGCTCTGTCATTTCCCTTGATGACTGGTATAAAGTGATCACTAGAGCTAGGTTCAAGGACAAAATGCCAGCTGACCATAACGATTTAATAAATTTATCGATGTCTTACTCAGAATCGACTTTGTCAGTACTAATTTACCAGTGACCTTCAAGAGATTGACCAAAACACTAAATTCGAAGGTAATCGTCAATTTATTCAATCTGCTAGTACAGTGATCCATAAGATTGGAACAGAGGTCGAGGTGTCCACTTCATTCACAGCTTTTAGCTTCACGAAACGACGTCATTTACCCAAATGTAGAAAAACTCTGTGTGGATTTAACATCAGCCACTTATTATCTATGGTGTCATGGAAGCAAGAATTAGGCATTCTGTTGGATGCCAAATAGTCACACAATCTAACGGCATAATGACTGAGTACTGTTGAAATGTGCAGGTATTTCATTAGTGACAAGTAGGTGTTTTGTCAGTTGGTATCAGACTATTTGTTAAATTACTCTTGTATGAAAAATTATATTTGTATAATCTCAGCGAAATTGAAATGAGTAATTCTAACGTCTGAAATTCTTCAGAGGAATTATTCGAAATCAACACAACTGAAGTTTATTTATAAAAGAAACTTCTCTTGTTTTTAAAAACTTTTTCCAATCATGAGTCATAAAACAAGTATCAACATGTCTAATAAACAATAAATGTATCAGCTGTGATCAAAGTTTGACCTCGCACATATAAACATTGATCTACCTTTGTTGAAAAATTTAAAGTGTGTTTGTGTGTGTCGGGGGGTAAACAGTTATAAAACATTTGTTAATCGTCTCGTTAACGTACGTAGACAACCGATAATTTTGACCAAGTGGTAATGATTAGTGATAAATATCCATTCTTATTTATTAATCAGGATACATTGGCATGTATCACTAATTGTGACCAAGAATCTGATTAACAGAACCAAACGTCTACTTACTGAGTAGGAAGAGATTAACAAGGAACTAAATTTGGTCCAGTCCACTCTGGAATCAAAGTATTATCCTAATGAATTGAATTTTGGATTTTCCCGTCGATTGTTTGGACCGAAGTGCTCGGTCTCAGGTTGACATGTCGGCTTCTTGTGCAGATGATTCGACGATGTCTGGGCATTTAATTAAAATTTAATTTGTGGATGGTGACTAGCAGTGGAATCCAGGATGCGCATTTCGTCCTATTTGGGACTCGTCAGCTAACTGGATGTACCTGCATTTCTCATTGAGTGATGATGTTCCCACTGAGGCTCGAACCCAGTACCCATAGTTTCGAACGCCAAAGTGTTATACTAATTAAATACCCAGACATCGTCGAAGCATCTGTACAAGAAGCCGACATGTCAACCTGAAACCGAGCACTTCGGTCCAAACAATCGACGGGAAAATCAAAAATTCAATTCAATAATTAATATGACCCGTTGCACAAGAGGTGGCTCTCGTGGCCCAAGTGGTCTAGTGGATAACGCTTTGGCGTTCGAAACTATGGGTACTGGGTTCGAGCCTCAGTGGGAATATCATCACTCACTGAGAAATGCAGGTATATCCAGATGACGAGCCCCAAATAGGACGAAATGCGCTTCATCCTGGATTCCACTGCTAGCCACCATCTACCAATTGTATTATCCTTATGACTTCATTAAAAGTTATTAAGAATGTGAAGATAAAGATAAATCGAAACCGGATGCTAAGAATTGGGTGAGTACAGTGGTGATTCCTTACAGCAAAGAAACAACCGAGGAAATAATGCAAATCCGTAAGGATCATTACATAAGAGTGAATTTTCGTGCAACTAACACCTTACGCTCATCGCTGGTGAAGGTTAAGGATAAAATGGAACAAGAAAACCAGCAGAATTGTGTATACCAGATCAGTTGTGTGGATTGTGACTCCGTATATGCAGGAGAAACTTCCAGACAGCTAAATGTAAGAGTTAAAGAGCATAAACATTATCTAAAAGTGGTTCTAAAGTCCTATACAGACTTGAAGAGGCTAGAAAACAAATCAGCGATTGCACTGCATTCGATAGAAACGGGACACAAAACTGTTTTTTTGATAAGACTACGGTTCTGCAGAAAGGTTTTAGTTCGTATAAAGAAAGGTTGACTGCAAAAACCTTGCATATAAGGGTGAATCCAAACAGTTTGAACAGACGTGAAGGTGTGATGTTAACTGATGCATGACAAATCCTGACTAATAAATAAAAAAAATTGGACATGTATCAACAACAAGTCATACTTGGTGAAAATTCTCGATTGTTTATGTCTTCTCATGGACAGGCTAACAAGAAGCCGATATGTCAACCTGAGACGGAGCACTTCGGTCCAATCAGTCGACGGGAAAATCAGAAATTCAATTCAGTAAATGTTTTATGACTGTTAACCCACACACACATACACACACATACCATTATATACTGCATATACACATAAATTTTAACAAAAGTAGACAAATTTTGAAAGTCTTAGGTCGAAATATTTGATCATAGTTCATACAATTTTTGTTTTGTTTTGTATAACTAATGATGGAAGTTTCTTGATTCATATGACAGGACAAACAATTTAAAAACAAGAGATGTACTTTATATATAAACATACAATTTTATTCTATTTATTTACTATACATGTTGATACCTGTTGCATGGCTCATGATTGGACAAAGTTTTCAAAACAAGAGTTGTCCCTTTTATTTATAAACTTTGTTATGTTAATTTCGATTAATTTCCCTGAAGAAGTTTGGACCAGATTGCCGAACGAAACGTTGGAATTAATCATTTCGATTTCAGAAATTAAATTTTTTTTAATGTCTACTTCTCACTCGGCGGCTAAATATTTTACATCTATTCTGCCAAATCTTTACGTCAGTTCATTTGAATGCTCTTGCATAAGCTTTCAACAGTATCCACTTACCTGCATCCTGACCTGAAAAAATAATGAAGAGAATACAGGAAGGTATGAATGAATTGACGCCTCAATGTTTCCTAGCATGTAAGGAGTGCAAATCTGAATTTGTTGGCGTTTGCAAATTCTTGAATATTTTATCTTTGTCAGCCATTCACTGTTAATGCCATCTAGTGAAAAAACCTAACTTAGTTTAAATAATTACAACACTCGTTTTTCATAAATTCTTATCCAGTCCGATGATAATCCTGGCATTCAGTAGTTAGTGCACTTACCAGATATTTTGAATAAACAGTAACTCAATGAATTATTAATTAAAGCAATTAGTCCCTTTGATAAATTTGAATAAGGCATTTAGAAGACAAATTTTTCGAGATGATATCTTCATTTCATAGTTTCTTTACAATCGCTTTACAACTAACATGGTTAACAATAATAAAATGAATTTCATGACAGTTACTCAGTTAAATAAAAAACATAGTCATATTCATCTAAGTATCTGAGTGACTTCTGAACTCGAATCGAATATCAAACTGGGTTTCCTGGATATTACAATGACGAGGAGGGATGATGGAACGATTTATTTTCGTAGACAGACATGAAGTGGACAATATCTTCATTTCACTAGTTTTGTTCCTATCCAGTATAAACGTTCCCCAGAGAAATGTTTGTTCTCAAGGGTCTGAAGAATATGCACGAACAACACATTGATGGATGAGTTTCGACATATACATTGAGTTTTATTAGCTAATGGTTATCCGGAAAACTTTATCCCTTGTCACAGTAAAGAAAGACCACATCTCGAAAAGACAGCTTCTGTAGCAAAGAAAGCTATCCATCTTTATCAACCTACAATACAAGGGTGACCAGATTATGCAGTTGACAGCTCAAAAACGCCATCAAATTCACATTCCACGCCGCATTCTATTTTTCTCACCTGCCGAACATTTTTGATCCCTGTTCCTACGGTTAAAGGACGAAATTCTGTGGACTTTACTTCAAACTGTATCTACAAGTTCACCTGCTGCTTCGGTCACACCTATATAGGTAGAACCAACAGAATGTTCCAGTGTCGTCGAAAAGAACATGTTCCAAATTGGCTAGTAAGTCATATAGAAGATCCCAATGCCATTAATCTGAATAGAAATCCAGCATCATCTATTGCAAAGCACTTATTAATGTCAGGTCACAAAATCAAGAGGAATGACAGCTTCACAGTTATTTCATCACATAACTCTAATTCAAGTTTGGTTATTGAAGGTGATGGAAGCCCTTTGGATTATTCACATAAAGCCTAAACTGTGTGTACAAAAAACAATACATTTTAATTTTCACCTACTCTGGACTACATGACCTATCTAAATATGATTGGTCATTAGTATGTACTTTTGTTTTTTATTTAGCTGAGTAATTGTCATGATCCTTATTTTATTATTAATGTTAACCATGTTAGTAGTAAGGAAGTTGTAAAGAAACTACGAAATGATGCCATCATCTCGCGAAATTTGTCTTCTAAATGCCTTATTCGAATAATTAATAGTCGTTTTCCAGTGGAATGTCACAGGTAGAACTGCTTCTGTTATAATTTTTTCATAAACGATGTTAGCTCACGACTTCATATATGTTCAGAATAACTACTTAGCCATAAAACTCTTACTTGAGCAAATCTATGTCGCCGATTAATAAATAAACTCACGAAGGAGAAGGCGACTTCAATTTTCACTAATTAACAGAGTCCATTGTGAAGTGGAGAATAACATGGATCCATTTTATTTTACACAAATGTCTATTCTTCCTGTTTTTCAAATTATTAAAGAAACATTTATGTGCGATATCAAATATCAGTGATTGATGTCCACATAAGCTACTGATATGATGTTGAATATGATCAGAGTGTGAACAAACACCAGTTAGGGAAAGTGACTCTGTTTGAAATTACTTTACTTTCCAATCCATGATATATTTCACTGTTAGCACAGCAGTTCAATACTGTTCACGCTTACTTGATACACCTTCTGCTTGCTTTATTGTAACAGTCACAATATTAAATAAAGAATTTAACAATATTACACGGTCATTACGCTTGTCTATACTCTCTTAAACGTACCATTAACATTATTCAGTAGAATTGTTAGAAATATAATAAAATATCCGAGTAGTGAAATGCCAAATCTCATCACGTCGAGATGCTTGTTTGATTTGTTTTGAGTGTGAATGTAAAAGAAAAAATACTGACTGCATTCTCATTGAATTGGTGTAATGTAGGGGGTATTCATTGCATGTCTGTCTCACGATCGTTGTTTATCTTTCTTTTTGACGAATTATGTACTTACCAACCTTAATTGGCGGTCACTCTTTTATTTCAGTAAATGAAACATCCCCACATTGAAATCGAAACAAGATTTTGAGCGAACAATTGTGGTTTCGATAACTTCTTCTTTAGGCTCTGATAATTCCATGATTAATAGAGTACATATAGCCAGTAAAGGCAAATGAAAATAATATCAGAAACTGTATTGGGGTGCATGTGTAAGTTGAGGTGATAGTCCATTAGTTAGCATAGTCAATTAAATGTGTATAGGGTGTTTAGTCAGAAAATGCGATGAAGTGTGAATGAACAGTTGGGTGATATTGTGTTGTTTTATAGTTAACAGAATACAAGTGTCCTTGGGGTGAGAAAATGCGGTAACCACAAAATACATGCAAAGACACGTTAACAAAGGAGGCACTGGATATGACGGCTGACCGATAATGTCTAATGATAAAATAAAATAAAGAGGCTAAATTGTAATAAAATGCTACAGAATTGGTAGGGTTAGTATAATATCATAAACGCTTTGGCGTTTGAAACTATGGGTACTGGGTTCGAGCCTCAGTGGGAACATCATCACTCACTGAGAAATGCAGGTGTAACAACAGAAGACAAGGGCCAGGCAACAGATCGTTTTATTATGAAAATCAACACGTATTTATACATCTTTCAACTACATTATTATAGACAAGCGCAGTCATCTGATTGGTTGTTTAGGTAGACAAACGCAGGCTTCTGATTGGTTGTTTCGGGATTCCTTGACAAATAGAGTTCTCTCTGCGAATCATATTTTGCCACGTTAACTTTGCTGTGATTGGTTGTTGACTCAGGCTTGTTCATATTTTCTCACGGCCCATATTAGTGACCTAGACCTTAACGTAGATTAGTGCCAACCAATCGGCTAGCAGCCTGCTCTCACCACACTCGTCCCCCCGTCAAATACGTGCGACTGAAGTCGGCTTGATCTACTTGGTGCAGGCGTCATCGTTGGCTTGTCTCGCTGTATCCATTTCTGGAGCTCGCTGACGTTCACGCGCCTCTCATTGTTCGCCATTGCGACTGTGTCTGCGTAACCCCATCTCGAAGTGACCATATATGGTCCTTCCCACTTTGGAAACTGTTTGCCTGACCCTGTCCAACATTCGTCCATACTTCGGCCCACACCTTCATATGCTGCTTTCGCCCGACCTCCCAGCAGCGTCTCAAGTAGCAGCTCCATCGCTGACAGATCTTGATTGCCACTCAACTGCGCAGAAGCCTTGAAGTCCTGCCCGAAGATCCATATGTCTCCATCAAAAACTGCAGGGTATAGGCTTTTCATTTGTCGGTAGGCAGCGACACCAAATGTAACAACAGAAGACAAGGGCCAGGCAACAGATCGTTTTATTATGAAAATCAACACGTATTTATACATCTTTCAACTACATTATTATAGACAAGCGCAGTCATCTGATTGGTTGTTTGGGTAGACAAACGCAGGCTTCTGATTGGTTGTTTCGGGATTCCTTGACAAATAGAGTTCTCTCTGCGAATCATATTTTGCCACGTTAACTTTGCTGTGATTGGTTGTTGACTCAGCCTTGTTCACGGCCCATATTAGTGACCTAGACCTTAACGTAGATTAGTGCCAACCAATCGGCTAGCAGCCTGCTCTCACCACACAGGTACATCCAAATGACGAATCCCAAATAGGACGAAATGCGCATCCTGAATTCCACTGCTAGCCACCATCCACTAATTGTATACTATTATCATAAAGGTTGACAAAATAAGGGTAACAATGAGGTGAAATAAACTGGGTGGAGAAATGGATAATAAAGACATGATATCACAAAATAATATTAATGATAATATTAGTACTGAAAAATTGTGATCCTGGTGACCTTATAGTGGACCAGGGTAGACAAAGAGAGTGAATAAGTTTTTTCTGTACACGTAGGTCTGGTCTTTCTCTATTAATCTCTAAAGCCTCAGCTATGGCTAGGAGGCGTAGTCGTAGTGTCGCGTGTCGCATTTTCCATGGTTACAGTTTAATCTGTGGCAACGAAATAAAAAACTGTCACTAGGTGGTTTAAGACAGCTGTATAGTTTGGCATAGAAACAGGTCACATTTTACTTATCATGGGGTAGACTAAATTGTGATTTATACCATATCAACTCTGCCCTGTAGTGACGTCAGACTGGATGGGATCAACACAGCAACTTAGGCCTTCTTTACAAGAAAGATCAGTGAGAAAATATATTACAGGACTAAATACAATAAACAAAAACTTAATTTATTTGTTTCTATAGAAGGTTGACATGTTCGTCGCCGGAGCCCCCTGCGGCAAACTTTCATCAATAGTTGCTTTCACCCGAAGGTCAATATAAGCTGACTGAAATAAAAAAGATAAACAATGAAGTGTCCCAGCTCTGAATTATCCAACAATGGTATTTTTTAATTCATGGAAAATTTCCACTGTAACACATAGAAAATCAAAACAAGTGATTCAGAGAAGAGAATCCTTTCAACATTTAATTTACTATCAAGCTGTTCAATTGTATATATATATATATATATATATATAATCAATAAGAATACCTACAAACATTAACAAAAGAAACAACAAACTAAATTCAAACACCAATAATCTGTCATTGTTTTTATAGAAGCTTCTCATGTGGGTCGCCGGAACCCAGTGCTACAGACTTTCATCCACAATGGCTATCGTCCGATGCTGATTGTAAAGTGATTGAACTAGGAGGAACAACAACAAAATGTTCTAGCTCTGAACTGGCCAAAATTGGTATTACCTAACAAGTCCTCAGAAGAAAATAGGTCGGATATCCGTTGAGGATACCGTCGAGTGGTAATTCACAACAAACCGTCAAATGCTACTCGAATGGGAAGTGACGAGTGGTGCTTCAAACAGTGAGATGAAGACCACATGAACTGTGTTTATGTCTTCTTGCATTCATGTATGCTGCTTATCATCAATTTTACGGAGATTTATTACTCACAATCGCCTTGAAGCAGTGTCAAAAACGCATACAATCTTCTAGATTTTTTTATATGGAATATTGTCTATAATCACACATTTAATTTGTGATTATTAAATTTTTTTGGTTACAGCTTGATTCCACACCGTATTTTTGATACAAGTGTGGAATTTTCAGCGTGGATATCGGTAGCCCAAAATTCGCAGGCCAACCATAGATATCATGTGTGCGTCGGCGTGGGCTTGAACGCCGGACCATGTGCATGGTTGGCGAGAGTCCTAACCACTGCGTCACCGACGCACAAATGTATCTGGCATTGAGTTTTTCCAGCTATACCATTAGAAACCTTTACATTTATACATCATCGGTGAACACTGAGACCACGTGATTCTTCGGAAAATCGACAAGTGTTCAGTTATAGTTTTACTACAGTTAATGATTCAACACTAAATGCGGAATGAGTGCTCTTGAGTCCCTGAAATTAAAAATCCTTAACAGAGTATTACATTTGATAAATATCGAACTTGAGTATGCATTTGAATTGTTACTTAGCATTTATATTGTTAATTGGACAAAACGTAAAATATTGAGAACACTATTTCTAAGTTAACTATAAATTCATCCAGATTAGTCCTATGAATAGTAATTAACGCATGAATAGGGTTACTTTCATTACTCATATTATTATGCATTGAGTTTTTGGTGGAAAATAGATTTTCATCAGTACATCACCATTTTGTCCTGTTCTTTACAGTTTTACTAAGCTCCATGACTTTCAATAAGCTCATATTTCGTCTACGCAGGTTCTCCCTTACGGCAAACTCGTCGTTTCCTGTTCAGGTTTCGTCATCCTGTCTTACTGACTGGCTGATTTTCTCAGGATTGTTCCTTTCAAGCACAGCTCCAGCTATGCATTATTTTTAGAACTGGAATTTCCGATAATACATTGATGAACCTTATACCCTGTGATTATCACAGGACGGCTTGTCTCGGTTTTTATAAATAAGAATTACGGATGTTATTTACCACTTTAATGAAATTTTCCTTGAATCCAAAATGTTAACTGACTAGCTCGTATAATTATTTTAGTACGAATCGCCTTAAGTAACTGATTCAGTGAGTTCCTATTGCTTTGTCTCGTTTCAAATTCGCGAAAGACATTATTATTATTCCTTTGGTTTTCTAGTGGAACATATGGCTTTAGCAACATGTCTTCACTCTGTTCTACTTGTTGATATCCTCATCAGCTGGGCCCACGAATACGCATAATCTCTTATCTCCTCCTCATTCCCCTACCTGCTGCATGTCACCCTCGAACCGACCGATTCGTAGCTTCTCGTTTGGATTCCAATTGGGGGTGTTGCGCGTCTGTGGCCTCCCGAAAGGATGCCCGATCCATGTTCATTTCCTCCTACATATTTGTAGAGCGATCGGCTCTTGGTTGGTTTGTTTCTAGATTTTCTTGTCACTAATTCTTTCTGATAGTCCATTCGATATTCACTCTGAAGCCAGCAAAAGGGGGGCGGCTGTTGATTAAAGACTGAAAACTTGTCGGAAGTCCTGTACACGACACGCACTGCGCCTTTCTGAGCCATATGTGCGTTGGTAGCACAGCGGTTAGGACTCTCGCCGATCATGCACATGGTCCGAGGTTCGATCCCCTTCCGATACACACCTGATATCTATGGTTGGCCTGCGAAATTTAGGCTACCGATATCCATACTGAAAATTCCATAGCCGTACCAAAACATACAGCGTAGAATCAAGCTGTACTAAAAAAAACAAAAATATGAAGTGATCGACTTAGCGTTAGTGTTGAAAATCTGAATCTTGTTTTCCATGTTGGCTGGGTAAGTGCAGTAGATTCATAAACTTGTTTTGAGATTGATGAAGACGTATCTTGCCTTTCCGATCCCTTCTAGCTGGATTTGACATCTTCATCCGTTACACCTTCCTTTAGTTGAAACAATGCTATCTACCTAGATAAGTGAACGAAGTAACCTTTAATAAACTTGTCAAGTTGAAGGTGACTGGTGCTACTTGTTCTTGTTACAGTTTTATTAGTCGGTTGTCTTCATCGCCTCTGTCTTCTCTGTGTTCATTTGCAGTCCTGTCTTCACTCTATTGACCAATGTGACTCTGCTGGTTTTCTCCTGTAAGTCTTCAAGTTTGTATGACATTAGACATATAATATCTTCGAAATTTGGATCATCTAGAGTCTTATCGGTGTTACAACGTATTCCTGTCTCCTCCCTCCTGCTAATCTGGAGCATAGTACAGACCATCACAATCAGAAATATAATAGGTAATAATAGACAGAATTTTCTTAATCCTTTATTCACATCAAACGTCTTACTGAGTATTCCGTTGTGTTAAAACTGACACTCACCATTGACATATAGCCAGCTGTTGAATGAGTTTGAGAAATACTGGAGCACTGCACACCGTTATGTTGAAGTAGCTTCCAAATTACTTTCCGGTCAACGCTGTTGAAGGCGTTTCCGAAGTCGATGAAATTGAGGTGGAGGTTTGACTGCCATTGTTTACTTCGATGACGATGCGTAGAGTATCAATTTC